GACAGAGATGGAGACGGAGGAAACAGTGGTTGTACCCACCCCTGTGGTGCCGGAAAGAACTGAAGCCTTGTACGGGGAGTGGATGATCGCTAAGAAAAAACCGCGCTCACGTAAACCTAACTCGAACTCGGAAAGGAGTAATCAGGAGAGAAGGCCGGAGAGGGACCAAGGGGTGCATAGTAAGGGGGGATCTCTGGTACAAACTGCCGAAAACCATAACCAGGAGGGGATTGCTACGTGTGGGGAGACAAGGCAATGTGTGAGGGACAAGCCGATCGAGGGTAAGATTGGGAACCCTCAGGAGAAGCCGCCTGATCCCATACCACAACATGAAGCACCCGGATCAAATGTAGAAGGGATCAATTTAGCACAAGTGATGCTGCCATGTGATGATAATGAGAAGGTAGGAGGAGGCCTCAGAAATGAGGCTCCCCCCTCCTAAAGCTCTCCGTGAATTCTAGGGTGTCCTACGTTCCCGCAGTATCGATGATTAAGATCTTTACGTGGAATTGTAGGGGAGCGGGAACCAAACGCTTCTTGCGGGTGTTTAGGGAGTATCGAAGGAAGTATCGACCGTCTATTGTCATTATTGTTGAACCTAAAATTAACGGGGATAGAGCGGAAGAGGTGATCAAAGAGATGGGGTTTGATAAGCAGCTTGTTGTGGATGCGGCAGGACGTTCCGACGGTATTTGGATTCTCTGGGATTCAGGTATGGTTACAATCACTAAAGTGGACAGAGCGGAGCAATTTCTCCATGTCAGGGTGCACTGTGGGCAGGAGAATTGGCTTCTCACGGCGGTTTATGCCAACCCGGTGCTTATACAACGTCGGGAGCCGTGGAAAGCTATTCGCACGATAGTGGAGGAAGTAACTGAACCATGGTTACTAGCGGGAGACTTTAATTCGATTCTCCATCCGGCGGATAAGTTGGGCGGCGCACCTTTTGATGCTGCGAGGGCTAGGGACTTCTAGGATTGTGTGTTAGATGCGGGGTTGCTCTACCTGGGATTCTAAGGTCCACCTTTTACGTGGTTCCGCACGGGCTTGAAGGAGAGACTGGATAGGGGGCTTGCTAACCCCGCTTGGAATTCAGCCTTTCCTGACACGATTATTAGTCACCTGCCCCAAATCAAAAGTGACCACCACCCCATTCTTATCAACCTTAACCCTCTGTTTCAACCTGCGGGCCATAAACCTTTCAAGTTTCTGGCGGCGTGGCTACTGCATGAGGGCTTTAAAGATATGGTAACCCGTGCTTGGGGGCGTGGCACAGACCTTGCTAGCTCTATTGCTGAATTCACGGCGGAGGCAAAACAATGGAATAAGAATGTCTTTGGAAATATATATTATGAAGAAGAAAAATGATCTTCTCGGTTGGATCGAGCGTCTGGAGCTTCGGCATGGGGACGACTCAAATGACGCGAGGCATGTCCAAGCTAGAGCTGAACTGGAATCCGTCTTACTTCAGGAAGAGATGTTTTGGTATCAAAAATCGCGGTTGGAGTGGATTGCATCTGGGGATAGTAATACCAAGCATTTCCATTCGAGAACCATTAGTAGAGACGGAGAAATAGAGTGGCTGCTTTAAAGAACTTTGCAGGGGAGTGGGTGGATGACCAAAACCTGCTTCTCGACCTGGCGAGGCAGTTCTATGAGGAGCTGTACACTGATGATAATAACCCCCTCAGTACTTTGCAGTCAGGATTTGCAGGCCTTCCTACAGAGCTTTGGGCACCACTTGACGAACAACTCTCGACTGAGGAGATCTTTGGGGCGATCAAGGCGATGGGGGCGATGAAGGCCCCGGGCAAAGACGGGCTGAACCCACTATTCTACCAGCGAAATTGGGAGCTAGTGGGGCCAGCGGTGTCCGAGTTCGTGCAAGCTTGCTGGAATCAACCGTCAAAGGTGAAAGAGATCAATGAGACGATTGTGGTTCTCATCCCTAAGGTGGCCAGACCGGCATTGGTTGATCAGTTCCGGCCCATTAGCCTCTGCAATGTTACATACAAAATTATCACGAAATGCTTGGCAGAGAGGATCAAACCTCACATGCCACGATTAGTGCATGAGACGCAGACGAGCTTCGTCCCGGGAAGGCACATAACAGATAACATATGTATTTTGCAGGAGGTGGTGCATTCGATGTGGGCAAAGAAAGGGAGATCTGGTTGGATGGTCCTCAAGATTGACCTTGCTAAGGCGTACGACCGGATTAAGTGGAGCTTTGTGCGAGACACCCTGCAGGCAGTCGGGGCTCCACGGAGTTTTACTGACATTACTATGAGTTGTATCTCTTCTCCGTCTATGCAGATCCAGTGGAATGGAGGTCTTACGGAGGGCTTTACACCGAGCTGGGGTCTTCGCCAAGGCTGCCTGCTCTCACCATAGGAGGGGGATGCGATTAGCAGTGCTTTGAATATCCCGAAAACTGAAAATCTTGGGAGGTACCTAGGAGTTCCGGTGATCCATGGTAGGGTGTCCAAGGCGACCTATACAGAGCTCATTGATCGGATTGACAAGAGGCTAGCAGGGTGGAAAGTCAAATCCTTGTCTTTGGCAGGGAGGATTACTCTAGCACAGTCGGTCCTATCCTCTCTCCAGCTTATACGATGCAGACATCGGTACTCCCGGCTTTTGTTCGTGAGTATATTGATAAGAAGATCCGAGGATTTATTTGGGGGAGTTCTGATCAGGGAAGGAAGATACATCTAGCGGACTGGGATACACTATGCCAACCAAAGGAGGAGGGTGGCTTAGGTCTGCGTAGTGCCACCCGTATGAACGAAGCATTCATGATGAAAATTGCCTGGAGATTAATGACAGAGGCTGACTCCCTATGGACACGTGTTGTGCGAAGTAAGTATCTGCGGCGCACTGACAGAGGGTGGCAACCAAGAACTGAGGGGCGACTTTCGAATTTGTGGCGGGGTGTTCTAAAGGTCCTCCATCACTTACCACAGGGGACGTTGTGGAATATAAAGAGTGGGTCACAGACGAGATTTTGGGAGGACTGTTGGCTCCAGGACGGTCCACCATTAGCCGAGTTCGCGAATGATCTCCCTGAGGCGGCAAGGGATCTTACGGTGGCTGACCTAGTTCTCAATGGGGAATGGAATCTCCCGTTCATTCGTGCATTCTTGCCCGAGGCCTTGGTCATGCAACTGTTGCTCCACCCAGTCCCGTACGAAGAAGGGCCCGACATCCCTGTTTGGCGACTCTCTCCTAATGGACTTTTTACCATCAAGTCGGCTTGCGAGCTCTTGCGGGAGGAGGAGGACATTGGCCAATCCCACCCGGTTTGGAAGAAGGTTTGGCGAGTTGCAGGTCCCCCAGAGAACAAGAACATTCTTTTGGCTTGTACTTCATTACAAGCTGCTTACCAATGGGGAGCGCCGTCGACGACATCTAACTCAAGTTGATGATTGTCAGATATGTGGGAGTGGACCAGAGACGACTATGCATGTGATTCGGGATTGCCCTTATGCCCGGGCTGTTTGGTCGGAGGTCCTACGAGATGAGCCGGATTGTGACTTTTTATGGAGGACAGAGTCAAATAGGCGCTACACTACCTGGCAGACCGGAGTGCTGTTGTGGATTCTTCCCTCTTCGCCGTCCTATGCTGGAAGCTTTGGAAAAATAGGAACAAGTGGGTCTTTGATGAAGTTTTGGCGCCGACCTCACTACTGGCTCGCCAAGCTGAAGAGATGAAGCAACAATGCCACCTCGCGCTCAATAAAGTGCAGGAAGTCATGGGCTTCGGAGGGGAGAGGAGCTCGAGCTTGGTTAGCTGGGAGAGGCCGTCTCCGGGATGGATCGCTCTGAACACAGATGGGTCAGTGATATTAGCTTCGGGGAGTGCCACGGCGGGAGGTGTTCTTCGGGATAGCGAGGGCAGATTTATGCGGGCTTTCTCAGCAAATTTGGGTGGCCGATCTATCACACATGCCGAACTGGCCGGAATCTATCATGGCCTTACTATAGCTTGGGATATGGGGATACGACGAGTGCGACTACAGACTGACTCTAGGACGGCGCTAGCAATAATCCAGATGGACAGAGATAACCACCCGCATCGGACCTTGGCAGCTTCGATCCGACAGCTCCTCAACCGCCAATGGGAGGTTGGAACAGAGCATGTCTTTCGTGAAAGCAATTATGTTGCTGACTTCATGGCTTCTGTGGGCCATTCGCTACCTACTAGGATGCATGTTGTGGATACTCCGGGTCCTAGCTTACGCTACTGGCTGTTGTTCGATTCTCTTGGCGTACAAACATCTCGATTTATTAATAATTAAAGATTAGAGCGCCCCTCTGCGCTCTATTTCTCACAAAAAAAAAACTCTTTCAATTGGTTCTCTCTCCAACCCGTCAATTCATCTCCTATTTCGATCAAGTACTAGAACCCCATCATCTTCTTCCTTCTTTTTTCATTCATCTCCACCTGCAAAGCCCCTATTCTTTCTCTATGTCCACTCATCCCCATTTGCCAGAATTCTTGGTAATTAGCATGAATTGTAGATTATAGGCAAAATACACTTGTATAGTCAAAACTTTGGCGTTTGTGCCAATAATAGCCAATTTTGGAGAAATACCACTTCTAGCCAGATTTTGTAGTTGTTGTAGGACAAATCTAGCCATTTACGTTAGATTCTTTAACGGTGTTAGTAACACCGTCAACTTCTTTGACAATTCGCTGACTAGGATCCCACTCAGCGCACACGTCAGCGCCAAATAAGCTAAAAGTGACACGTCATATATTAATTTTATTTAATAATTACAACATTAATTAAAACTATGACATGTCATATTTTACTTATAAATATTTAATTAATTTTTAAAAACCAAAAATATTTTATAAACAAAAAAATCATTACCTTCTCAATCTTCGTTCCCATCTTTATAAAAAAAGCATCGTTCCAATCCAAGAACCCAGCGTCACTGCCGCCGGAAACTTCTCTCGCATCCGGCACCTACTCTACTCCATCTCCACGAACTCTCCTCCCTCCAAAACACACCAACCCCCAAGCCCAGATTCATCCACCAAAAAATCGTGGAGAAGAAGAATCGACTTCGTTACCCTTATCTCCGTCTTCCCACCTTCATCTCCTCTTCTATTGGGTGGAACCGTTGGGTAGAATCTTAAGCCTTTACTTCAATTAATACTCTGCTTCATCTATTGATTCGCCAGAGAGGAGGCATCAATTAATACTCAGCTTCATCTATTGATTCGCAGAGAAGAAACGGGAGGAAGGGATTTCCGTATTTTGATTCGACGGAGAGGAAGATGGGATCTCGGAAATCCAAAGGCAATGGCGGTTATCGATTCAGATTCAAGCTCTGACTCTGCCATAGCTAGATTCAATTCCGGCGACATTCCAGCTCTGGACATGGGCTATTCGATTTGGGGGTTCTAAGACGTCGCTTCCGTGCACTGCGTCTCACATATGGACGATAGATAGATGAGAGGAGAAGGAAGGGTTTTGTTTTTCTTTTTTTAGGTTTGGTGTCGTTGTGGGGAAGAGAAAGGAGGAGTCTTGTTGTTGTGTGTTGATGGAGAAGAGGAAAGGAGTACAGAGGGAAAAGTAGAGAGTAGGAGTTCAGATCCGGAACCAATCCAGTGACAAAGAGGCACGGCAACCAACAGTATTCCGGCTGCGAAATCAAGCAGTCGAATACTACTGCATCGCCTTGCCGGAATCGTCGTGGCAGGCCGATCTCAAGCGCCGCCTTAACCGATTCTCAGGAAAATCTCATCACAGCCCATTTCGAAGAACAAGATGAGGAGGAGGAGGAGGAAGAAGAAGAAGAAGAATAGTGTGGTAGGGAGGAGGAGGAAAGGCGGCGGTGGTGGTCGGAGAAATCATCGGCTTCGCAGCCGTTCAGAGAGAAGGGAAAACGACGACAGAGCCACTTCTCCGCCTCGCCTAAGCAAAGTCTCCTTCCCCTGGTTGAGGATATTTGCCCAGAATGGCGATGACGTTTTTTTTCCTTTTCTTTTCATTATGTTTTTATTTAAATTAATTAAAATAAAAAGGAAAATTCTGATATGGCATTATTTCTGAATAAAATATGCCACGTCATCCATTATCGTTAGTCCAGTCAGTCCGTTAGTTGACACCGTCAAAGAATTGGACGGAAGTGGCTATAAGTGGTATTTCTTCAAATCTGGCTATTATTGTCACAAACGTGAAAGTTTTGGCTATACAAGTGTATTTTACCTAGATTATAATAATGAATGGAGTTTTTTTATTAGTTTTGTAGATCTGATTGATTTTTTTCTTTTGTTGTCGAAAAAATTTCAATTTGCATAGTATAGCAGTAGTTTGGGCTTGAATTTTTTTTTTTTTTTGAAAGGTAACTCCTGCTATTTTATTAATGTGAAAAGTTTAGGCTTAAAGCCTCCTCTCTAATAAGAGAGACCAGAAAAATTGGTGGTCTATCCACCCAGCACTCATCTTCCTCCCAATTACAGACCACATGGGCCATTTTGTGTGCAGATCTATTGTGGGCTCTCTTCACATAGGCCCATTCGATTTTCTCAAATCCTTGGCCCATTTCCCTGATGTCTTCCACAATGTGGCCTATCTCTAACGACGTCGTCGTGCTTCCTTCGATCAGCCGAATCACCTGCTGGCAATCAGAACGAATTGAGACCGAGTTCAGCTGCAATCGATTCGCCATTTCCATCCCAAAGAGCACTGCCAAAGCCTCCGCCTCCGCCGCCTCCCACTGCCGCCTAGTTCTTCGAACTGCCGCCGCCACGAACCAGCCATCCTTCCGACGAATTATCACCCCTAACCCAGTCCCCTGATCTGGCAAACATCCCGCATCGACCAAGATAGAGAAATCCGTGGTCTGAGACAGCCGCCATGCATCATTTCCCCTCTCCTCCGCCGTCTTCTCTGCTTGAAAATCCAGGTACTCTTCTAGCCACGCCATTGCTTTGGGAATGATCTCCCATTCTTCCAATTTTCTTTTGTTCCATAACTGGCTATTCCGCTGTTCCCAGATAAACCAGAGAGAGACAAGAAATTTACCGATTTGGGCGTCCTCTTCTGTTTCCTGTAGACTGCAGAACCATTCTTCACAGGTGAGATCTTCCCCCCTCTCGAACAGTAGATGCATGTTCGTAGGTCGCGTCACCCTTCTAACCCAGGCACAATCCTGGAATATATGCTTTTGGGTCTCTGGTAAATCGCAAAAAGGGCAGCCTCCCATTCCTTGCTTGGTTCTCTCTACAATTCTCCTCCCTGTTGGTAGAATATCCCGCACCCACCTCCACGCAAAAAGTTTAACCTTTGGGGGTATGTTCAACTTCCAGAATCGGCTCCAATTGACTGGTGTGTACAGTTCTCCCAGCTCATCCTCCTCCCTATTCTTCCAAAGCCTATAACCTGACTTTACTGTGTACTCTCCTTTAGCGTCCAGACTCCACACTCTTTCATCTTCACATGGTTGCCTAGGAATCGGGATCTTTTGAATTCTTTTCCTATCTTCTGGACCAAAAAATGTCTGTAATAAGTTCTGTTTCCAACTCCTAGCTTCCAGATCCAATAATTCCTCTACTAATGTAACCTGCCCTGTCATTGGAGTTGGAGATTGCACCTTAAAGTTATCACTTGTGGGGATCCAGCGATCTTGCCAAATGTCTATTTTACTTCCATTCCCTACTCTCCAACGAACACCCTTTCTGATCAGTTCTTTTGCTCCCATTAGCCCCTTCCAGACCCAACTCGAACAACCACCTTTCTCCGCCTCTAGTACATCTTTAGTAGGATAGTACTTCGCTTTCATTACCTTAGCTGCAAGTGATTCGGGCTCCTTCATGAGCCTCCAGAGCTGTTTCCCTAACAGTGCCACATTGAAGCTCTGTAGGTCTCGAAACCCCAATCCACCCTGCTTCTTTGGTCTACTTACTTCTTCCCATCTCAGCCAATGAGTTTTCCTCTCCTCCTGTTGTTGCCCCCACCAGAAATTGGTAATCAGTCTTTGTATTTCCTTTAGAACCCCCACTGGTATTAAGAAAACGGACATTGCATATGTCATCTGAGACTGGGCTACTGATTTTATCAATACCTCCTTGCCAGCTATAGATAATAGCTTACTCTTCCATACCTTCACCTTGCTTCGCACTCTATCTACCAGATATCCAAACACCGCCTTCTTGCCTCTTCCCACCCTCGTAGGCAACCCTAGATATTTCTCATGGTAAACCACACTCTTCATCCCTAATCTCCCAGCCAATTCATTCCTTTCCTCCACCCTCACATTAGGGCTGAACGATAGTTCTGATTTCACCAGGTTCACCTGCTGACCCGACTCTTCCTCATAGAGTGTTAATATATTCTTTAGATGTTCACATTCCTGTATGGTTGCCTTGGTGAATAAGATACTATCATCAGCGAATAGTAGATGGGAAATTTTAGGTGCTCCTCGTTTTACTTGCAGCCCTGTAATTTTCCTTTCTTCCTCTGCTTTAGTTATTAACCCTGATAAACCCTCTGCCACCAGGAGGAACAGATATGGAGAAATTGGGTCTCCTTGTCTTAACCCCCTGGTTGGTTTAAACCACTCTGATCTGTGCCCATTCACTAAAATACTGTACGATACAGTAGAAACACATTCCATTATCAGCTGGATCCACTGATCATTGAAGCCAAGCTTTCTCATAATTGCCTCTAGGAAGCCCCATTCCACTCTATCGTACGCTTTTGTGATGTCAAGTTTAGCTGCCATCCAACCTTTTTTCCCCTTCTTTTTTTGTTGCATAGTGTGAAAACACTCAAAAGCAACAAGAATGTTATCTGTTATCAGTCTGCCAGGTACAAATGCACTCTGATTAGGCACGATAATATCAGGCAGAATTACCTTCAATCTGTTTGCTAGGACCTTAGACAGAATCTTGTACAACACCCTGCATAGACTTATTGGTCTAAACTCAGCAGGGGTTGATGGAGATTTCTTCTTTGGTATCAATGTTATCAGTGTCTGGTTTAATTCTTCAGGAAATTTCCCTGTCTCCAAATAGTTCTGTAACTCATTTGTCACCTCGTCTCCTACTATATCCCAGTTTTTCTGGAAGAAAAAAGCTGGCATTCCATCTACCCCTGGTGCTTTCATCGGTCCCATTTGTTTCAATGCTGCCCATATTTCTTCTCTAGAAAAAGGTTGCATCAGATGCTGGTTCATTTCCTCCGTTACTTTCCTTGGTACTGCCTCAATGATTCGGTGTCCTGGAGCCCTGTCTCCAGTCATAAACAACTGTTTGTAAAAGGACACCAAACATTCAGACACCCTCTCTTGCCCTTCATATACCATCCCTGTTCCATCCCTCAATTTCCTAATTGTATTCTTCCTCCTCCTCTCAGATGCTCTATGGTGAAAGTATTTCGTATTCTTGTCACCCTCTTTCAACCATTCTGTTCTGGATCTCTGCTTCCATTTCAGTTCCTCCAAGGTAAGAATTTCATCCAATTCTTTCTCAAGAGCATCTCTCTGTTGAACAATTGCTTGGTTCAATTGTAATTTAGAGATGCGTCCCAGAGTCCTCTCTATTTCTCGCCTTCTAGCACTTAAACTTCCAAAAGTTTCTTTACTCCATCTCTTCAGGATATCCTCACATTCTTTCATTCTTTCCATAACTGATCCATTTCTCGCTTTCTTCCATCCCTCATCCACCACTCTTTTGATCTCTTGATGATTTTGCCAATAAACTTCATATCTGAAAGATGATCCCCACTTAATTTCTGGTTCACTCAGTTGAGTGAATAGATATAATGGATTGTGGTCAGAACCACATCTGTCAAGATGATAAACTCTTGCTTCTGGATATAGGTTACCCCAGCTGCTCGTAGCCACCATCCTGTCTAGTCTTTCTTCCAGAAAGGTATCGTCCTTATGGTTATTATCCCATGTAAATCTCCTTCCATAGAACCCCAAATCCTCCAGATTGCATACCTCAAGTGCTCTATTAAAAGCTTCCATCTCTTTTTCGTCTGCCTCAAACTTCCCATTTTTTTCTGCATAGCATTGGACCAGATTAAAGTCCCCTGTTACAAGCCAGGGTAAATCCACCAATTCTTTAAGTTGTAACAGCAAGCTACAAGTACGATGTTTATGTTTCTGTTCAGGCCACCCATATATCCCTGTCAACCTCCACTCCTTCCCATTATCCTGGATCTTCATATCTATGTGGTTTTCGGAGTATCCTTTTATTTCTAGTAGGATATCCTGTTGCCATAGAACCATCAAACCTCCTGCTCTTCCCACAGAACCTACTCCAAAACCATTTGACCATCCCAATTTGCCCATTGTATCCCGCCACTCATGAGCCATTCTCTTAGTCTCCATCAAGAACACCACCTGGGGATTTTGTCTTTGAATTAAAGACTTTACTTTCCTAATTGCCGAGGGATTCCCCAACCCTCGACAATTGTAGCTTAACACATTCATTGGGCTTGGCGGCTCTGTTCCATGACAGAGTCCGCCTTGTCGCC